GCGGTATTGTTTCTCATCAGCAGACACAAGTCGACAAAACCAGCCGTCATATTTATTTGGGGATTGAGGCTGTCACGCGCTTTGTTCCGCTCCTCGCATCCGCAAATTTCTCCACAACCTTAAAACTGCGTCCACTTGACCTTTTTTCTTATTGCAGTTCAAAGAAATACATCCCAGATAGACAAGCGCGCTCCTTTCCGTGATTTTCAGTCCAAACTTATCACACAAAAACAACTGCGAGACGGAAGCATCCTCCTCAGACACATAAACACACACACACACACACCACCACCACCACAAGCTCTTACAGCATCTCAACTTGGTGATCCCTCCGCTGTCTCTGGCTCTAATCCAATGTCCAGTGTCGGTGCGCCTCCACTTTCTGTGCGTCACGCTGAGCGCCGCAGCCAGCAGGGAGCCGGTGATGATCACAGCTTTAATCCGAACAAGCTCCCATGCAACCTGCACCTATGGTGGCAACAACACTCACCGGCACCCTGATTCGGTGTAAGTAACCCCCACCTCCCCCTCTCTCCATCTCGCGCTCGCTTTTCTCTGCGCGGGCGGGGTCTATAGCCGCGCTGCCTCTCGGGGCTCGAGGCTGGCTGACTCACTGCGTCCCGCTGAAACACAGCCGGGATGTATAGAGGAAACAAACATACATTTGTTTCACATTTCATACGGTTATCTGACCCAAAGAACATTATAACAAAATACATATTCTATAGTCTCCCCAGAGAAACTGGACATTAGTTGGACTGTTTCAGAGTAATTAGCGTTTTTTCCCCCCGCATTCTTTACTGTTTCAGGTTTTTTTTAATGTGTATTTCTTATAAACATTTATCTTTAATCTATTATATAATATTTTTCATATAGTCCTATTTTCGCATTTCTCACAACTTAGTTCCTCAAACTCTGTTACTGTACATGCAGCATTATACACCAAACCAAATTCCGTGTACAAATTTGCAATCAGTGGTGTAACTACAATTACTCAAGTACTTTAGGCCTACTTAAGTAAGAAATTGAGGTACGTCTGTATTTTTACATTATACTTTACATATTGTTACTTTGCAGACAGGTTATTAATAAAAAAATAATATTATAGTGGTGCATTGTTCATATAAAGCCCACCTTTACCAAGTGCACCATTAGAGTCATGTACACATAAATGCACCAATAATGTATTTAATATCTGGAGAATGGCCATTTTGCATAAAGATTACTCTTGGTAGCCTATTTAAAGTGAGTTTGTTTGACTTTTACTCTGGTATAAATGAAAGCTGTGCATTCAAGATTGTACATGAGTATTTTACACTGTAGTATTGCTACTTTTACTCAAGTAAATTATCTGAGTACTTCATCCACTGCTGTTGGCCATAAACCTGATTCTGATGTTTACCCGGCTCATTAATCACCACTACACCCATCTGTGTGACTTGATTCCGTTTATTTGCATGGCATCTGGACATATACAGCACCTAAAAAGTTCCCTAAGTGTTTGAAAGCTGCTGCCTGATAGATGGGCACACGGAGAGGGAGAAACAAGGCGTCTGATGGATCGCTGGAACAGTGGCGTCATTTTCCATCAGTGTCCATTAGGCCCAAAGGGCAAGCGAACAGCACAGAGTCTAAAACCTGTGAGCCATAAACCTCCAGATAGCTGTCTGACAGAGCCCTGCTGCCTCTGTTAGGGTGTGTGTAGGTGTCTGTGTGTCTGTCTGTGTGTCTGTATGTCTGTGTGTGTGTACGTGTGTGTACGTGTATGTACGTGTGTCTGTCTGTCTGTGTGTGTGTACGTGTGTCTGTGTGTGTCTGTGTGTTTGTGTACGTGTGTATACGTGTGTGTGTGTACGTGTGTCTGTCTGTCTGTGTGTCTGTGTGTGTGTACGTGTGTGTACGTGTGTCTGTCTGTCTGTGTGTGTGTACGTGTGTCTGTGTGTGTCTGTGTGTTTGTGTACGTGTGTACGTGTGTACGTGTGTGTACGTGTGTCTGTCTGTCTGTGTGTGTCTGTTTGTCTGTGTGTGTACGTGTGTCTGTCTGTGTGTCTGTGTCTGTGTGCCTGTCTGTCTGTGTCTCTGTGTGTCTGTCTGTCTGTCTGTCTGTCTGTCTGTCTGTGTGTCTCTCTGTGTGTCTCTGTGTGTGTCTGTGTCTGTCTGTCTGAGTCTGTCTGTCTGTCTGTCTGTCTGTCTGTCTGTCTGTCTGTCTGTGAGCAGTCTCCTCTGCAAAAACAGATCCATCCTTGGTATTTAGTCTGAGCGCTGACGGGGGGAGGTGTAGTAACTACAATGTTTCCACAAAGCTCTCCATCTTCTCTCTAACATGTGTCGATAGCCTGGGCAGAATGAGCTCCAGTGAGGATCAATCCACTCCCAACGAGATGAGAATTGATTTAGGAAATTATTTGCAACAAGTCCATTTGCATCCTTTAAAAAGGGCAGCAGACTGAAATGAGAGGAATACAATCAGACTGAAGGATGTTCTGCAGTGTTAAAACGGTGACTCCTGCACAAAAACACTTTCTGCAGCTTCTTATTTCACATCTTATTGTGCCTCTCGGTTGGATCCTTTATGCAAAGTGTCCTACTTTTGCCCTGCTCTGCCTGTAATGCCTATGATTTGGGCTGCATGAAATCAGGCACGGAGAGAACCCATGCACCCCTTTAACCCAAATACAGCTGTATGTTGTCCGCCTCTGTGGATGAATTATTCAACATCTGTCTGGGGCGTGCATATGTAAACAGGTGGATCGTCTCCTGATGGCTTTTTTTTTTTTTTTTAAAGGGGAGCCACTATGCACCAAAGACATCCTTCACCTTGGCATCACGCTATTTCTTCTCTGCTGTCACCCTGAAAGTGGGTCTAAATCTCGTTTAAACTATGCAGACTCCACATTATTGGCTATATTCACACATGAAGGCCTCTTAAGTGATCCTAAATCTAAAAATGAATGTGGGTCAGAGAGTATGGATACAAGGATCCTTAAAAGGCGTTAAACACATGAATTTATAGCCGTTTAAGTCCGTGATTGCTATGCAGTTTAACTCTGCTCAAGAGAGACATCAATTATAGACATGAATTATCTCCCAGTGCCAGACATTAATACCTAAAACAGATGAATGTATGTCTTTCCAAGCTGTTGACTAACAAAGCAGCCATTCAGACTCAGTTCACTTTTAAGTCTCACACATTGGAAATCCAGATTTTTCTCAGAGACTTACTGGCTTTTGTGGGGATTGAACACGTCATAAATTATATACAAGACAGTCTGTTGACCCCTTCAGTCACCATCAGGCTTACATTTGTGTGTGGCCTTGATGTCTGCCAGTATTTGCTTGATTAGAGGCTGCAGTACTAATGCAAATAAATGCTGCCAGATGTGGAAGGATCACTGACCCACATGGTTTCATTTAGACCCCGGCGCACCTCATCTCAACGGTCTCAGTCTGGTTAACCAATGGAGAGGAGAAAGGGGGATAGAGTAAAATGCATGACACACAGAACTAAGGATGTTTGATGTTGTTTATATACATACAGTAACTTCCTTTGGTGTTGAATAGCTTGGAAAATAAGTGTTGTACTTACAGTGCTTGCCAGTTTTAGCTTTTAAAAAGATGTGTCTCGACAGACCTAAATTATCTTTAATATCATTTTACGTGCCAGTGACTCCTCATACTTGATAACCTAAAAAATATCATATAAATATGTTTGGATCATTTTTCCTTTGAATTGCCCTTGCACCCAATTATGCAATCTCTTTGCATTTCAATATATTCCAAAGAGGTTTCTGCTCGAAATTACTCCCGGTACAGTGAAATACTAAGAAGCTGACGGTAAACAAGGGTCTCCCGTATCTGAGGTATGTCTGAGGCAGCATCAAAGCGTCAAGTTGCTGCCACGGAGTTCCCTGACTTGGAGAGATGCACTGAAGTTTTTATATATTTTTGAAAAAGGTACCTGAAATTATCTTGGCAAAAGTTCTAGTTCCCCAAGGGAAGCAGTCAAAGAAAAATGATCTGCTCTTCAGTACGAAGCTTCCCGTTGCATCGTAAAACTGACATTTCTATGCCATGTTGCTAACGTATGAGACAGGTTTTTACTTTGACCTTCAAGCATGCTTTCTCATGCAAAGTAATGAGTAGAGAAACAAGTGCCTTCACTGTGGAACTCAGTATATTTAAGACCAGGTTCCACAAACAGCTGGGATTATACAACAAATCCAGCTCCTCTCAGCCACAAATACAGACACGGCTGGACTCAATTCTCCTCTCATTTGTCCCCCTCTCGAAAGGCAGGGAAGATTTGAGGATAATCCTGTCTACGCCTCTCTATGGAAGTCGAAGAAAAGAGGTATAATAATGTCAGAAAGCTCAAGGAGGCACTCGAGATTAAGCCACTAACTATTGACTTTGTGTGAGTGGCAGGTAAAGTCACCTCTGCGCAACAGCCTGATCAGCAGAGAGCAAGACCTCCCCCTAGTGGATCAGGAGGGGTATAATAACCCGTCTGTCATTGAGGTTTTTCCTCTCATCCCTGAGGAATTTGGTGCCCAAACATGATGGATGCCCGATAGCCATGTTTGTTTTTAATCTTAATTATTAATCTTATGTGATACGGCAATTTAGTTTCCACAGCAACCTGGCTTGTCTCCAGAGAGCCAGACAGACCTGCTACTGAAAAGGTCAGCGCAGGAGCATGGAGGATTATTCAGAATCATGGAGAATAGCAAGTATCCAGCGTTGCATATCGAATTAACTCTCCATCGTCAGCGCCGCCGCTTCATGAAGGGGTTGGAACTGGATTGCGCTGAGCCCAGATGAGCTGTCAGTCAAGGTTCAGATGGGATGAGTACAAAGTTGGAAATATAGTAAAAGGTTTAAAAAAAAAAAACAATATAAAAACACCAGTAGTAACAAGGATGGGAAATGTGGAAAGTGTTAACCGAGCAGTTTCACAGGACAGAGGGGAAGAGACAGAAACCAAATGAGGCCAGATGAAAGAAGGAACAAACTAAAGATTTATTGAAGGCAGCAGAAGATGCAAAGACAAGAACAGAATGGTAAGGTGGGGAGCGGGGCACATACAGAGACACTTGTGTTCAGATCGGTTTAATGTTTTTGAGTTACAAAAGTGTGTTGTTTTTTTTTTTTACAGCTCCAGAGAGCTTAATAGGTCTGTATTGTTTATCAAAATATACATGTTTTGAAACGTAAAGTGGATAGAATCCAAATGATTTTGTGGTACAAAAACATGAGTATATACAACCATCAATCCCGCATCATACAATAACCCCACCCCGCCCCCATATAAAAAAAAAAGAGAAAAATAAAAGCTTTAAACAAAATAATCAAAAGGCATATAATCTTCTACACCATCAACATCACAGCTACGACTGTGGTTCATTAAAGTATCCATTCTAAAGCCATCTACCAAAGTAGGCTCTTTGTAAAGTCGATCAACAAAAAAAAAAAAGGTATACACATACAGTATAGGCTGATGCACAACATATATATCTCAATTTCCTGTGACATTTGTCCAAGGCATCTGAGAAATGGAAATGAGGGAAACTGAAGCCATGGTGAACTTGGTGGAAATGTGAAAGAACAAAAAAACAACCTTTAGAAATCACGACACCACAACACAGCAGGGGTAGAAGATACTTTGGTCCTTATCAGCAATAACCGCCTGTAGCTACATGAAGCTTGGTTAAACCATGCATAATAATCTTTTACAAAAATAGAGACAAGAGCTCGTCTGTATCTGGTCCGGGCTGCGGAAACCGGTGCACGAAGGCACGCAGGAATGTGACGACGTTTAAGACTTCAGCGTGATGGTGCCAATTTGGACCTATCGTTGAGGAAAAGTGCACTAAGGAACCTGACTGTGGCGGAGGGGGACAGAGAGGACCGCTGAGGGCTACCCCCACCTGTAATCCTGAATTTTAGAAAAAAAAATATATACTGGGTTTAGGGTTTTTTGGACCCCAGTTGACAAATGAAGCTGTGCCCTCTTACAGGTAGGATCACCTGGATATAAAGGCATCTTTGCAGAGGGATTAGAGAAACCTGAACGAGCGGTAAACAAAGTCAACTGACCGGGCCAGAGTGTTTCAGCCTCAGATTTAAAAAAAACTCAAGGCACTGTGATAATGATCAAACCCAGCCACTACATATAGGTATCAGTTAAGCTTAGAAGTGATACACATGTAAATGCTAACATTAAAAGAAAAGATAAATGAATATATATAGATGTCCACGTATACATGAACTTAATATGGTTAAATGACGCCCCGAACACCATTGTCCCTGCTGAGGAGGGACTACATGGAGGTGAGTGGGGACTGTAAGACAGGAAGGCTGGACACAGCTCTAACTCCTGCCACAATACACCTAACAGCGCTACATCACCTAGCAAGGATATTAGGTATCTAACTGACTTACATTCATATTTCTACACACATATAAATGGGGATATATGCATACAAATCCTTAGATAAACATCTGTGTTCTTAAGATTGAATGAGCCACTACATACCAGAAGGCATGAAAGAAAAAAAGAGCCACGTCTTTCCCGAATGAATCCAGAGCAATGCTTAAGGCAACCTGGTTGGGGCCAAGTAAGGCACGAGACTGTAGATATAGATGTAGAAAGAAAAAGACATGCTTATTGAATGACTTCAGATAGTGGTATTGATCCCCCGAAGAAAAAGGCGGATAGTAACAAGATATCTAAAAATCAAAATGGATACGCGGAAATAAAAATGGTCTGTGAGCCAAAACAAAATCCTTTGTATCAAACCGTTTCTGACTGGCCAACAGGTTCAAAGTGGCATTTCAAAAAGGCACACACACACACAAAGATATATCCACACGACTATCGTAGTAAAAGGAATGCTGAAGTGTGTCTGGTGTGGACAGGATTCGTCCCAATGAGCATCTGTGGTGGAGGGTGGTTTTTTTGTTGTTTTTTAATGATTTGGTCTAAAGTGACAGTTCATCAGCTGCCTCTACTTTACCTCCGATACGAGACCTCGGTTCACTGCAGAATGTGGCCCCTCTCGATGGGCCCGACTTAAAACCATATGGTGGAACAAAGAATGATTTGGTTTGGGTATCAGGAACCTGAACTGGAACCAGAAACTCCTTTGATTCTAGTTCCTGATTAATGCGCTAAATGCTGGCCAATTGTTTTACATTGCTTATGTTCCATTTGGCCTGTGAGTAGTTTAACCATGTAGAGAATTAGCCAATGTTAAACGCACAAATAAAAACAAGTGAAAGCAACGCGAGCGATTTGTCAAGTTCGAATTAAAAATACGGTGTATTTTATGACACTTTTAACCAAAATAACTCACGATGCTGTTTGTTTTCCACGCATTTTGGAACTATGAATCGGAATCAATGCGCAGATTGAATCAAATGTGAAACCCAACTGGGAATGATTAAGAGAGCGACATTCTGCAATGAACCACGGCCATTCATATGTAATGATGCCTATTTCCACCCAACACAACCTTGATTAAGTTTCATTCAGGTGACGATAGACTTGGAGGGAGGAAGGAAAGGCACTCAGATGGTGGACTTTGAGAAGGACACTCGGAGGTGGTGGTTCTCTCCCAGGTCGTGGTTGTGGAACTCGATGAGGGACTCGATTGCCTCCTCCACGGAGCTCATCTGGATCAGGGCCATCTTGCGGTCCTTTCTGTAAAATAAAGAAGAGACAATGTGTTGTTATAAAAACAAAAAGGGAACAGTTTGTTTTTTGGACTTTTGGAGGTGTGCTTGCCATTTGCTATGTTGCGACTATTTTCTAAATAAACCATAGATAAAAAGAAAAGATTTATATAAAGTCATGGTCTGTTCATATCCCCTCCCCCCCCCCAAGGTAACGAACAATTCAAGAAAATAAAGATTGACTGGGCTGAGACTTACTGAAAGAACTTGAAGGCCTTGACTGTGGATCCTGAGCTGGCGAAAAGCCTCTGGAGGTCCTCCTCCACCACGGCAGGTCTACAAGCAAAGAGGGGGGAGCAAAGAATTAACATCAAACATTTATGGAGGTTTACACTAGGGCTGAACGACTAATCGATATTTGAAATGATCAAATCGCAAAGCCTGCTATTGTTTTGTTCTTCTTGTGTGTCAGTCATACCAATCAGAAGTGCTGTGCTCCACATGTAGCAGCCATTGTTAACCAATCAGAAGTGGCCCATGATAGAAGGTGATAGACAGATTGATCCAATCACCTGCCAAGTATTTTTGAAATACTTTTCCAAATGGCTTCCAATGGAGCTTTAGATGGTTTGGTGAATCAAACCATCTGAGTCAGGTTAGTAATGCTCCATCACATGTTTTCTATTACAGGGTGAGTCTTAAACTGAAGCTTGACTTTAAAGCAACCCAACAGAAGTTTCATGTAAGTTTAGTTCTTTCACTCGTAGCTCGGGCTGCGGGGGTGCTAGAGACGGGAGCACGTTGATACGACCTTCCTATCCGGAGATATGGCTGCATTTTACAATAAACTTCCGTTGGGTCGCTTAAAAACAAATATCGCAAATCGAATCGCAATTAGATTATTTCCCCAAATCGAGCAGCCCTAGTTTACACCCCCTCCACCTATTTTGCATTTTCATGTTTATTTCCTGGCATTGTGAAACTAGACACAGGAGGCCTGATTAAAATCAAAAACATGCACCTCTGGAGTAGCATGATTTAGAAAACACCGTCGCAACTACTGAATCCCAAACGCTAAATATAGATTGAAATGAGTCAGGACTACAAAGGGAAAAAGCTTACAGCACCAGAAGCTGCTGGGGAGGGAGTGGGAATTCAAATGAGGCACTCACGGTATGTTGGAGAGGTGGAGTGTTGCCGAGGGTGGGAAGATGTTGGAGTAATTTTTGGAGCCGGGCTTCTTGAAGCGGTGCAGCGGTGAGTTGCTGTAGTCCTTGGTCAGGCCCTGGTCCTCGTGGCCCTCTCTGGGCAGCTGCACGGTGGTGTGTTTGGATGAAGTCACACGCATGGCCCTGCCGTGGAGACGCTGGCCATTCAGGTGGCTCATAGCTGAGAAACATTGATTGTTAATATCCCTTCTCATATCAAGCACATTTCTGTTCACCCACCAGGTAAGATAATGTGAGGGGGTAAAAAAAAACAAGATGAGAGAAAATGAAACTTCAAAAGAAATCAAATGGTGTAGCTACCTAGCTGAGCCTGTGTGCTATCAGACATCTGGATCAGAGCATTCTCCTTTTTATTAAACAGGATCTTCACTCGCATCACATCGCCGTACACACCTGGGGAGGAAGAGGACGGGGTCACAAAACAAGGTACACAAAGAACAGTCCAAACAGCAGCTTTGAAACCAATCACAGCAACAAAACACCATCACATCAGGGACAGTAATATTCCATACTGCTACTTGACACCATTTGATTAATAAGTCATCGTCAGGCTATTCTACTAATTGTTCAATTCTGCATGGGATCTATAGAACTAATCCAACATAAGCCCTCTTATATTACAATTACAGATGCTGAGAGCTACGGTTATGCTTTAGAAGGGAGTGATTTGATGGCGAAAATCAAAGAGTAGTACGAGTGTTTCTGATCGGTTTGATCGCTCTACAGAGACGAAAAAGGTGATTCCTTGACTAACCTGAGGGTCCAATAGAGAAACATGCAGGAATAAGCTTAACATGCAGACACCTACATTAGGCTAAACAACTGCAAAGGACGTGGTGACATAATCTGAGGGATATGTCACCTCACAATCACTCAAAGAAAAGCAGCAGCAATTCATCCGTATATGTTCTGTTGCTGAGCGACTCAAGGCAACCGGAGGAATGAACCGACACAAATAGAACTTGCTGAATTTTCAAGGCCAACAATTGGACCGTGCAGAACCAAATAAAGTGTTGGCTTGTATCCTCTTCCCAAGGCTTTAGAATTAATTCAAAATGATCCCCATATTTATATTTAGCGAGGCAACATTTCCCATTGAGGCGCTGTGCTCTTTGAGGATGCCCATGGACAGTAAACCACTGCCGTTTAAAACTAAATGAAATGCTGCTGCTTTGTACGGTGTTCTCACCTTACTTTCCTCACACAAACCCACAACAACCAAAACAGGTCATACAAACCCCCCACAAACAGAACAGACAACCCCCACCCTTCGTAATCCCTGTACCCTGATGACGAGCCATCAGTGGTTAAAATAAAAACAAAGCCAACAACAATGAGACAAGACACGCCCACCTTGCCGGGTAACAGTAGTCATAAAAAAAAGGAGATGAAAGGATGATAACGTACCGAAAAGAATAAAGAGGCAGTGTGGCGTAACGCTCTTTAGAGACAGCAGGGGGAGCAGCGGGGCAGGGGGCCAGAAGGGGGATAGGGAACAGGGGACAGGGGAAAAGAGCGGAGTGGAGGACAGTGGAGTGGAGTCAGGACATGTCCGCAGGCCACAGGCAGCGAGGTCCACAGGAAGGCCACAGTACCATGGAGGAAGGAGAGGCATGAGGGACGACGAGAATGAAGAGGGGAGGGGGAGGATTCATAGAGCATGAGAGAGGAGGGTGGGGTGGAGGAAGGAAAGGAGATGGTGGAGGGACAGTTGATGGTAACATGTGCCAATGTTGTGTTTTTGTGTTTTCATTTTGTAGGTGGTGTCCAAATTGAGGAGGAAGAGGGGGTGGGTGGGTGNAGAGAGAGGGAACAATTGGTGGTGGGGCGTGCAGTCAGTTGGCAAGAGTTGAGGTGAGGGGGTTTTAAAACAAAGGGGGGAGAGGGGGACAGAGAAAGAAGAGAGAGAAAAAAGGAAGTAAAAAACAAGGTCAGTATACACAAAGAAATGTAGTGCTTCAGACAGTAGGACTGGCTAAATTTAAATGCACTGTCACTATGGGAACACTAGGAGAAAAAGAAGAGAAAAAAAGATTAACAATGAAATACAGAAAAAGGCAGAGACAATATGTACTTTAAATTACAGGCTATGTTTGTTCATATTTAATATTACATCCAACAGATCTAAATGTACGTTTTAACAAACCTGTTAAAGCTGATCTTAACGTTAACAATGCTAAATGTAAGGTCTACATAACTACAGTAAATAGAATGAGTGTGACTACTTATACATCCTAGAGAATGACCTAAATCATGGACATTTCTTTAAAAGAATACAAATATAAAAAGTAATATTGTCTCTCCAACAACTCAAGAATGATTTCAACTAATGGGACAAAAATGAAGATGTGAAATGGTAAGTAAAAAAAAAATAAAATAAAGAAGTTAGTGTTTTTGAATAAACTTAAAATTCACAGTGAGCAAAGTGACAGAAACGCAGCAGGTTTGGTCAAACACAAAGAGGTCCTGAAAGAGAAGAGGTCACTCCATGACCCCCTTGTAATGAAAAACATTGGTCTGATCGCATGTAGTGGTGTGAAATGTGTGACTTGGAGCTCTTGTGCAAATGGATCCAGATCCATGAACCCGTAGTGTAAACAAATGGCACTGTAACATTTGTATGTTTCTCAGCAGCTTTCACAGAGGCAGGGAGTGGAGCTGTTAACGCCCAGTGAGAGTACTGACCTCAGGGTTGAGATTGCTGACCAGCAAGACATTGTGTCCCCCAGAGGCAGTGAGCCCTGACAGACCCAGCCTGTTAGCAGCTGCTGCAGCAGCCGCCATGCCACCATGGCCCATGCCCAGAGAGGCCAGGCCGGGCATCCCAGGCATCGACAGACCTGAGAGGAACACATTATTCATTACTTTGACATATTGCTTTCTGCATAATGAAGGGACTTGGTGAGGATATAAAAACATGGAAATATATGATAGGGCTGTGCGATTATGGCAAAAATCATAATCACGATTATTTTGGTCAATAATTGATATCACGATTATTAAAAACGATTATCCATTTACTTTGAAAACATCCATTTATTTAAACATTATTTTGAACAGTATGTTTTGAACAGTTGATTACCCTGAACTTGAAGTACAATTCAACTGAAAATAATCGTTTTATTTCGATTACGTTGTTTTCGTAATCGTTGCAAGCTAAAATCTTAATGGAGATTAAAATACGATTAATTGCACAGCCCTAATATGAAGGGAAAATATGTAGGGTAAGTAGCAGGTAGATCTAAGGAGAGGAAATACAGGTTTCATTTGACATAGCGTAAAAATATGTGTGTGTACTGACCTGATTGCTGGAGGGCAAAGGCTGGGGGGAAGCCATGAGCGCCACCATAAGGAGAGGCTGAGATCAAACCTGGAGCAGCTGGGAAGAGATGCAACAAAAAGCAAAACAATACCCTCTCCGTCAAAAGTGTACTTGGAATATTGTTCGATCCTCAAATAAAAAAAATGCTTGAAATTGCTGTTTCAGGGCTCAAATATATATGTATATATATGTATAAATGTATATAGAGCCGAAGTCCCTCCCTTTCCGGGGGACCTCCATGGAACCTTATTTCGGAAAAAGTTAAAAGTATGTATTGAAGTCAATGGAGAGAGAAAGATTATCTTTCGATCCCGTTTGAATTGTGGCACGAATTAAAGTCAAAAAAATAAAAATGTGTCATAAAACTGTGAAGTAACACGGAACTACATCTCCCGTCTCGCACCACACACCAAGACGGCGTCACGTTGGCACATTTCACTTCTTTCTTTCAGAATGAAGTGAAAAGTATTAAACGAGGTGAAAATCACTCCAAGTCTGGGCATGTTGAGAGCCGTACATACACACAAGGGGAGTTAGTCGGTTCCGTAAGAGCCAGCATGCGGGACCGGGATTCTGGGATTTGTAGTCTTTCTAGTTGCGTATTTTTCAAGATTGACAAACATCATATGTTTAATTCGTGGCACAATTCAAACGGGATCAAAAGATAACTTTTTCTCTCACCATTGACTTCAATACATAATAAGAAATAAGGTCCCATGGTGGTCACCGGAAAGGGATGGACTTCGCCTCTCTATATGACCATTTATAACCAAATAACATTTTAAAATCCTGTTCCAATCCTACCAAATGCAGCGGCTGCCTGCATGGTCTGGTGGTCGAGGGAGGGCTGTGAGTCAGCAGTGGGGAGGTCCGGTCGGGTGTAATCTCTGCTCTTGTCGTTGTTGTACTTGACGTTAAGGCTGGTGAGCTTGGAGAAGCTGATTCTCAGGGTACAGCAGGCATTATAGATGTTCTGTCCATCTAGAGACTGAGACAGACACCAGAGCATTAGATGCATGTTTTACTCTGGTGATTTTAACTACAGTTTCATTTTCAAATGGTCCCACAATGTTTACACTGCATGTGTGCCAACCTTACTGCAGAAGTGGTGTGAACATTGTGGGAGTTAAACACCGTGAAAGAGAGCATATTTAAAACCAGTCTTACCAGTTTGGAGTGCTGAGCTGTCAAGCCATCGGCATACTGGATCAGAGCCTGGAACTGGTTGTTCTTGGTGAAAGTGATGATCTTCAGCACAGTGCCGAACTTAGAGAAAATCTGGAGGGGGGAGGGAGGCCGCATGATTAGAGATGACGTCACAACAAACACATTTCATTCAAACATTATGGTCCGAAAGATAAATGGCAAACATTTGCACATCTGCGTCCCACTACTAAAACCTTGTTTACGCAGCTCCACCACATTTGCAATGCACTTTCCTTACATGGTAGTAAATGTCAGCCATAGAGAAACACTTCTCAGTAACATCAAAAGGTTGCAAATACAGTTGCACTGCTAATTCTCTCATCGAAAACAACACCAGAAAAACAGGTAAGTTCTACTGTAAGTAATTGCATAAAGGGTACCGTCAAGCCTATAATACATGTAATAATTCATAACTGTAGCCCCTCTAACAAATTACTAAAACTCCCGTACCTGGTGCAGAACATCGAGGGTGACGGGGTAGAAAAGGTTTTCTATGATGACTCTGAGCACAGGGCTTTGGGAGCCTGCCCCTCCCATGGCAGCAGGATCTGCAGGGATGGCCATGCCTCCCATGCCCATGCCTCCCATCCCGACGCCCATCCCGACCCCCATCCCGCCTCCATGCAGCGCGTTGACCGCCTGCAGAGCTGCCTGGGCACGCTACGGGAAGACAAAAGAGAAACCTCTTAGCAAGAAAGGTGAAACGTATGCAGTGATAAATGATTCAGACAGTTTCATAACTCTTGGTATCAAGCAATGACTGCGTGAGCGAAAACACTTACCACTTGGTTGGGGGAGTTGTCTGTCTTGAGCTCCTTGTGGGTCGAGTATTGCATGTAAATGGGGTGGTTTCTGATGACGGGGGTGACAGAGGAGTAGTAGCTCACCATCGTCTGTGCACACTCCTCGCTGTTCATTTCCAAGAATGCCTGCAGGGAGGAGCAGAGAAACTTCTTTAATATGTTTTTCCCATCATTTGTAAAAGATTAAAAAAAGGTGACCCTCTTAGGCAATATTCATTAAGCACTCCGAATCATTTAGCAAGTCTGTTGTAAAACTAATTAAGAGCATTTTTACTGCCCATCACAGTTCCTCTACTTTTAGCACATTTTCAGTTTTACATCTTTATTGGATTTGATATAGAACCCCAGGTAATATAAAGAAAAAGGGACTTCTTCCAGTACAATTCAGGAAATACAATTATCATTCTACCCATTCAAACGTTGAGTACGTGACAAAGGGGCATCGTCTTAATTTTGATGGCAGGGCAGAAGGGTAGAGAGCTGACCTCCACCTCCCAGGCCTAAAGGGATTGCCCCCAGGGGTCATACAGGTTTGTGAGCAGCCCTCCATGTGTCAGTCCTTACCTGGTTTTTCCCTTTCAGCATCAGCAGGTTGGTGACCTTCCCAAAGGGCAGTCCCAGCCCAATAACTTCTGCTTCATTTATGTCGTTGGGCAGCTTGCGTACATGGACCACTCGTGACGGAACACCGGGACTGCGCACGTCACCTTTGAATTTTTTACTGTCGTTGCCATTGGCTGCGAGAGAATAAACACACGCAGATACAATCAGGGAGGGAACAGAAGCCTCTGGTTTGTCTTGAATAATGGATTGATCGTCATGGCAACACAAACGACACAGAAAACGACAAACACTTCAATAAAAAAGGATTCACTCCTCCATGGCAACCCCCCCTACCTGAGTTCATGATATAGGGCCCAGTGGGTATGCAGGAAGAAAAGAGTTCGTCGGATCCCCTCTGTAGATAAGAGAGAAAACAATGGTTCACTTCAGTGCATTCACCAATGAGGGCGCAGCATAGCAGGTGGAGACCACGGCTCTCATATTACCCAGCCATTGTGTGATCAAGCAGGAAGTAATCCTATAACCAAAAGAGGATTGTGCAAACATGCTTGAAAAGAGCTCCACCTTCCTCACCGGGAAGAATTAAATGACCCAGCCTGTCAGCAGGGATATTTGACTTCTCATCATACTCATATCTTACCATCCCAACTCAATCCCAGTTCCTAACCTTAGCCACAGCCAGGGTCATTATATTGTGACTTGGGGCAATGTGCAAAATCATCATGTTTTAACACCAGTCACCCTCACGGAGGAACAGCCACTATTCAGCTGAAAGTGCACACGTAAGCAGTTCCACCTTAGCTTGACAGTCGCTGTCACTCAGTGCAATCCATCTTCTAATAATTCAGTATAAGAAGGAAGGATAGCACACAAAAGCCCTCTGGATAGGAAGAGAAGATGGGAATACTCTGTGCCCACACAGGCTTACTGTCTGCTGAAACAGCCTCTTCTGTCCTCTCTCTCTCTGTGTAGTAGATATAAAATGCTGTTTCAGGGCTGTTCTCATGGTGTGTGAGTTTGTGGTTGTGCGAGATGAAGTATACCAGTCACAAGAAGTGGCTCAGCAGCCTAAGCTCAACCACACTACAATGAAGGTCCTGTTCCGGCTGAGACTAGGGGCATTGTTACACGGCAGCACACACACATATGGAGCCACAAGGACTCTCTGGGAGTTGAAGAGCCCCGGAGCGCTTAACAACAACCAGTCATGCAGGTTTGCTAGCATACCTTGTGAATCTTGGTCTTTAAATATGCATGAGGGGGGGGGGTTTAGTCAGGGTGCAAAAGCTTCTCATAAAAGGAAGGATTAAGGTGATCTGAGAGAGAACGTTTGGTGGTGCCTTCTAAACACTGTGAAGGGGGAGTACTAAGCGCACTAACTCTGTTACCATTAGAGCAAACCACTGTAAGCTGGAACATAAACTGCCCTTTGACTTCCAGATGGTTTGGTCGAGGCGGTCACTCTCACTCTGAGGCCCACGCAAACAGTGTCTGCTATCTCAATTCATGGCCTTAGAGCAACAACAGACATTCCTTTGCCTTTTCACTCTGGCTTCAGGATCAGGGGCCTCTCGGGTTGGCAAATGTTCAAATCTTTACATAAATGGAATGTATACATGGCAGAGTATCTGAGCAAAGAGAACTTGGGTGCCACAAAAACTCTAAGTTAGTCACGGAAAAGACAAGAGAAAAAAAGCATTTACGGTTTTTTAAATTATTACGACACTCTCAAATAATGGTAAAAACAACAAGTGTGTTCAGTGGTCGGGAAGTCAATGTAAAAACAAAATGTATACTTGATAAATGGGCCGGGGCCAGTTGCAAGCTATGAGAAAGGAAGGAAGTGGCCCCCTCCTGACTCGGCGCTTGTGGGTGGGCAGAGTCACATTATCAGTCAGCAGACTAACTCCAAACAGGAAGAGCAGCGAGATCAGGCCTGCTTCCAGGCGTTTTACTCAACTTTCTCCTGGGGACTGATGGTTACTGTTCCATGGCAGGACTCTTTCTCTCTCCCCCTACTTCCTCATTCTAAAAATAACCACAGAGCGAAGGCAGCCTATAGTACAGAGGAGGACCATCAAAACCACACACAAAGGACAATTGTATACAAAAAAAAGACTGAAGAATATACCTATAGCCTTGGGAGTGAGAGGTGCAAAAGATAGCAGAGTAGCACATAACCAAGATACAAAGTTGATGCAAGATATATAGAGCATATAAAAAGTTTGTTGTTAGTTAGACTGCAACATAGTGCCAACCCCATGTTTCCTGCAAAACTCACTGAATGCGTATCGACTTGTTCACATCCTGTTTGCTCTGACAATATAATAGCAACCTTCGGGAGGCGGTGACACATTACTGGCCCGCATGATGAAACTCTTCCTCTCACTGATAATAGCACTGGCCTACCTTGAACTCAACTTAAACAAAAAACAGGAACATGGACTGTGGGCAATGTGACTGCTCCATACACCACTTCACACCTGCTTTGCATTGCATCAAATGATGAGAAAAAAGAACATAGCCGCATTTGTGAAAACTATGATTTTGTAAGAAAACTAATTCTGACTTCCTTTGTACTTGTGCTGGTGCCTGCAAGCAGCCTCACTTTGTTCTATGCTGGGGGGTTGGTGTCAGGTAATCTCTCGGGGAAAGCACAAAGGTGAAGAGCACAGGTAGAGACATGTTTGCTCACTGTGATCAGCCTTTGCCCGTGGAGGGGGCAGGGAGCTGTGCCTCACCAGGGGGTGGGGGGGATTGGAATGTGACCGCGGAATGCCAGACGCTCTGCCCAGACGGAATAATTACAGATTCCAACGAGGCAGCGCTCCATAACTCAGCATCCTCTTTACCACAAAACTTCCCAAAAATAGGAAACGTTAGAGAATGAATCACAAAAGGAGACGATCTTGAGTACCAGTCAGTAGCCTTTAAATCATGCATTGTTAACATGTTGAAAAACATCAGGGCCTTATTGAAGTGAATAGAGGGGGTGGGGTGTGTCCCCGTTACGGGCGTGTGTATCAGAGAGCTTGTTCAAACAGTTGAGGCGCGATGGCTACAGCCGTAAGTTCAATTAGTAACTCCTCCTACACATAGCTGCCTAGGGGCCCGTAACCAAGGATTACTACTTAGGCAGGCATTTTTATTGGGTACGCAAGCAGCAAACAACAAATGTGGTCCCACTTCAACAAGTTTGCACACACAAGCTACAAAGAAGGGCTATGACAGTCACATTTGCATACAACAGCTCTCTCATGACTGAAATGATAAGAGCTGATTCATGCACAAAGATATAACTTTGGACACTTTTCTGAATTCTTCTACTGGTTTGGGTTAGGTGTTCTAGTAACATGGTGGAATAAGCACCAGGGCAGGATTCAGCTGCTTTTGTTAACATTCCAGTAAGGCCAACATTCTATTAAGGAACACACAAAATAAACAACAGGAAGTTTCATTTCCCTGCAGCCACACAATGCATCAGAAACAGGACAGGAAGGCATAAAACCCCAACTCAGATAATCCATTCTAACTCAATTATCACGTTTTTTGGTCCAGTCTTGAGAGATGCAGCTACCTTAATCTGAGTGTTGAACATTATGGATCTTTTCAAAAGAGCCGGTCTGCAACTGAATACTCATTCCACATAGGAAACATGCTTTGGACTGCAGCTCTATAATTATAGAGGACACTCTTGCAAATTGAAAGACTTTGCATCTGAAAACTGTTGGTTTCCCATTTCCACTGACTTCTCTTAAACCAACATTACCCAACAGCAGCACAAATATATATATATATATATTACAACCGTCATGTCAATTGCACATACATTTAACCTGTGGCATTAATTATGTGGTCTATCCATGTAGTGAAAAAAGCAGTACAGCAAAAAGATTTATTTTAAAAATATTTTTAAAAGAAAACATCTTACCTTTGTGCCAACTGATATGTCATGGACACTTCTGTGAAAGAGAAGAAAGTTGATCATTCATTTAGTAAATCCGAGAATAAATAATAACACAAATGATCGTGGAAATTCATTACTCTTTAGATGTATGACAAATTCAGGAAGTGTTCCGGATAATAAAAAACTGGAAATCAAGGGCAGACGTACACATTTGCCAATATAAACAAAATACTTACTCGAGTTCAGGGACGTAGCCGGTTCCCAGGGGGTACAAGTCAGCGTCTAGGCGGCTGTAGCAGGTTTGGGAAACATAACACAATGAACACTTAGCATAGAAATAAGTAACAACACATTAAATCTCGCGAATAACACATGTACGTCAAACGTATGGTAAGTTATGTGCAACGTTCACTATGCATTGATAAGTCCCTATACACTGTCGAATTCAGATGTTCAAAAAGGTTCGAATGAAACAACAAATCGCCATTGTGTACCCTACCCTTCTTTAGACAAACCAGTATAGAAGTCTCTGATTCAATCAACGGGAAATGTTCAGGCCACACATCTTCAATATGGCCCTGGCACTCCGCAGACAAATGAATGCGGAAATGAGACACGTTGCTTTAGCTAGCGCTCAATCTCCCGTGAAACCAAGTTACCAAGGTAGTTGGCTAACGCTCACATAACGTCTGCGATAGCAAACGAAATAGGACCACCAGTATTTCCCTGATATAACAAGAGTGTTTACTAGTCATAACTCTTAATATCTTTGCTGTTAGTCTGTTCACACTAAACTACAAAACATAGTCCGTACAAATGATCCCCCTAACTACCGTTGTTAGCCATGGCTAGCTAGTTAGCATTCTCTGCTGCTAACTGTTGCATGTTTTGATGAAAAAAAACAGTTTCAAAACTTTCCCGGTATAACGGTTAAGTGAAACAGCCATTGCGAGCAAACACCTTTGTCAAGCAACTGTAGTATCAAAGTTTAATACACAGCGATATGTTAGTTTTGTAAAAATTAAGTCTTAAGTGTGGTTCTTTTTCCACTTACCCGTCCATTGCACAAGAAAAAAACTGCAGGTCTGAAGCGAAGGTACTGGTAGGGCGGCAGACTTGCTTGATTTTCTTACAAAATGGCTGAACACACGGAGGCGAGCGCTGATTAGTCCAGGCACTTTCAAGAGCCAAAAAGGGGCGGGGACAAGCTGCTACTTGAGCAGCCATTGGACAAGACGGCTATCATTTTGTGGCTATAGAAAGGCCGCGGCAAATTTCCAGAACATCATATAATGTGTGATTAGGTTTTGTCTGAGTTGTATGTGATGAAAAGAAGAGCGTACTATGACTAATCGACTTATCGTTAAAAAGCGAATGCCCTACTGTTTTCTTAAAGACCGAACAAGTATGAAGTCGCAGTTAAATGTATTGGCTCTCGTTATATCTTATGATGAAACAGTACAAAACACACCTTCAAAGATGAACACCAAGGAAGTGTTTTCAGTGGCGCATTTAAATTAGTCCTCCTCAACTCCAGCTTTTAAACGAGTAGCCTATGTGGAAGAACTATACATCTTTTACTATCTATTTATTGGCTAAACTCAACATGTTTATCTTTATTAACAGTTAAGAGACTGCCAAATAAATTAAAAAGTATAGTAAATGTAATAACATAAGGTCACAGGCCAGTTATTTTTTAATGATTTTCACCACTGTAAATATGAGATAATTAACAAAGAATTAGGAGATTCCAGGTGGAATATTTGCAGAGTAGGTTCACTTTCATCCACACTATTCATAGGCTATTGGGATTAATCTGAATCCAGCCCTTGGGACCAAAACTCCTTGGACCTTTTGACACATTTTCAGATTGGAGTATCAGATGCTGTGGTGTTTACCTCTCAATGTAATGTGTGAATAACACCTTTAGTTTTGATGGGTCACACCAGAATCAGGGGGTAGGCCTAATTGCCCTGATACTGTGGTACAAGTTTTCGAATCAGCAAATTATCCTGTAAACAACATAGGCCTACGAGTTAACTCAAGATTGCAAAAGGAAGGAAACAGCTCTGGTGTGACAATAAAAGAAGGTGTGAACACTAAAAACACAAGGCAAAGGCAGTGTTGAGCCAGACATAGGTTGCCAACATAACCAGTTTAAAGGTAGGACATGCACCTTAATTAAACACCCAACAATAGAGGTATGTGCAAAATAAACCATCTATTCTATTGAACAAGTTTTAAGCAATGAACTGAAATAAGCTCTGCACAAGTAGGATGCAGTTATGTAGACTAAAAACACATTGGATGAGCTGAAAAAACAAGGAAAGACCCTCATATCAAGAAACATACAACAATAATGCACAGGTTTGCATGGGAAATAAGGTGAAATAACTTAATGATATGGTGTCTTCAAATACAAAGTTGAAAACAGAAACATAAAGTGGCTTAAAATAGCATGTCATCATCAAGTGTTAAGTGCACAGTTGGTGATCTCAATGTGGCTCTCATACCGGGGGTTGCTTACAATTAAATTACAATGTCTTATTTCCAATAATTTTTTTATGTATATTCCACTGGTTGAATCTATGACATATATTGTTTTTATTCTCTGTTTGTGTGTGGGGAGAGTGTGGAATAGCACTGTAAGGGGTGTGACCTAAAAACAGCATACAATATTCTCTGTCTCTTGATGCGGAACACTTCTGCTACTTTTATTTAAAGGTGAAATGTGTCTCATCACAGAATGTGTTCACAAACTGAATGTGCCCCATTCATACTGGGCTCCTCATTTAACTGTCATTTANACGTATAGCTATACTATTATACGTAAGTTATACGTCTTCTGTCTACTTTTATTTAAAGGTGAAATGTGTCTCATCACAGAATGTGTTCACAAACTGAATGTGCCCCATTCATACTGGGCTCCTCATTTAACTGTCATTTAATCGGAGGCAGAAATGCTGCAGGATGCAGCAATATAATTATTTGTTTAGTTGAATAGTGCATAATAACCTCAATCTGATGAATGCCATGTTTAAATGACCCTCTTCCTTTGTCTCCCTTTTTCACAGTAGGTCTGTATGGTCTGTATTTGACAATAGTCTAACAGGATTAACTCCAAAACAGAAGGTGTATGTCCTCTAGTGGCATGTTCTGGGTATTGCACCTTACAGAATACAGCTGCCTTTTGCCAGATGATTAATGCCAGCATTAATGATGCTGAAATCTCATTTATTCTCAACAATATACATTACTACTGGTGGAATTGCTCTCTGTAACTTTATCTTTTATGTATCTACTCAATTGAATTGCTCCTCAAACCACAATTTACTTATTGTCAATTCTCCATCAAGGGGTTTAATCGTATATTATTCTCATACTTATTTTTTACCATTTCATTTTGTTAATCCTATAATAAATGCATGATTTATTTGAGTATAATTGTGTGTACGTTTCCCCAGAAGGGTGTCCATCTGTGGCTCCATCAGCTGAGATGCCAAAACCACACACATCATTAACCATGTGTGCGCTCATACAGCATGTGTAGCTTACATTTGGCTGATTAGATAAACACTTTTCGGACTTGCTGTAAACAAACAGTTGTTTTATTCAAGATTAAACATTTAGACGACCACAGAATAGATGAACAGGCATTGGTCTAACACAAGGTTGCTTTTTCTGCTGCTGTCCCATAAACCCACAATTAAGCAAAGCTTTAGCTCAACAAATGTACATCTATGTATAAAGATGCATACAGATACGGCTACATACTGTACATACATAGACGGTCAGTTAGTCTCCTGTATAAAGATTTTATCCCCGGAACATGATAACATTTGAATGTAAATTGTCACGTTTCTAGTATTTGGGCTGTAAAAACATAATCAGTCAGTTAAAGGAAAATCAGCAATTTTGAAAAATGTAATACAGGCTCCACACATTTTTTCAAGACACCGACAGTAGTCTGCATCTTATGCTTGAGGTGCATTTATTTATAGTTACCATGTGAAATTAATAATAATATTCTAAGTTTTATTACCCCTAGAGTAGAAGGCAGTTTTTCCATTGGGCATCATATGACCAGGAGCAGAGCAAGAAAAACCCCGGTCTAAAAATGACGACAGACAGACAAGTCCAACCAACTGAACCTGACAAAGGCACAAACAATACACAGATGTAGTTATATCTTCTTTTAAAAATACACACATCATAATACAATATGTCGCCTTGCAGAGGCCATAGGAAAAGAAAAACATGAGTCAATATCAGAAAGAAATTGCAAGTTGTACAATTACATTGGAACTGTACATATGAAAAGCATAGACTATATTTCGTCATCCACGCCTGTTGACCTTCCTTTGGAATGTTAGAAGGGATAATTTCTCCGGTGGTAAATGCAGGCAGGACATGAGAGAATGCATCTGGCACTGAAGGTTGCGAAAGACTCAACAAGTGTATTCAGGAGGCAGTAGATTCCCACAATCCCCCTCACGCGTGGTGTGAGTAAGACGTAGGGAAAGAGTTGAAGTGTAGTTGGTGGATGGAGTGTTAGACAAGACTCAGGATTAGCACCAACTTCAGAGGTTTTTGAATTGCTGTGTCTCCGAGCATAGAAGGTAGGGTTGTGTGTGTTTGACGATGAAGGATGGTGATAATGGCAATGGTGTGTGGGTGAATCAAACGTGGATGAGCCTGAGGGGAAGCAGAAGGATTGGTGGTGTAGCATTCCTGACCCGGGACATCAATGGCCTCTGTCTTCCAAAGAAATGAGTAAACTAGAGCCAAAATCTATTTCAATAGGCTTCCAGGGCTTTAAATTGTTATAGTGTAAATGCACCATTAGGCATCCTGCACTGTTTAAAATGGTTAGATTGTCCCCACCCCCCCCGAATCAATATGGCCTATTCCTTATAAAACATTTACTTAATAGCTTTGGGTCCCTTGGCATAAAGTAGTCTTTAGATTGAGAATAGTGAATTATAATCGCTCCAATCTTTCTCTTCAAATCTATTCAAGTACTATAGGGCCCGGGTGTGCAGACAGGGGTTAAACTGGGAGCGAGCAGGACAGAAACCAGCAGCCGACCAACACACAGTGAACTTACAGTATCATCAGAATTTTATTTAAAAGAGACAAAAAGCTTCTTTTTTTTACGGTGAGCTCATTATGGTAGAATCCCAATTTAACCCCTGGATTTACATTCAAGTGAACGTGGAAGCGTATAATTAAGACCTTACAAGTGACAAGACAGTCAAAACAGTTGCAAGGCTTCATGCAGTGCTACCTCATTAGATTTACATTGATTCTACTATTGAGAGAACAAAAGCATTTAAGCTAGTTGTTGCGCAAATGGTTCAGCATGACTTTAGATCATAAGGTATCCATCTTATTCAAAAAATACAAAAGCTGTGATCTTCATGTACATGTGTCACATATAGTATATGAGAAGCTAATGCAGTTTGCAATAAGGTCACTGTTCTATTCAGCCGTTTGTCTCTGTGCTGTAGAGTTCTTTTTAAAAGTACACTGCCAATTATATCCACTGTTACTGATAGAAAAAAGACTAAAGATATGAGCACATATGAGTCTAAAGCACAGACACGTGTTGTGATTGTAACGCAAATCTGGTAGTGCTTACAAGCTTACATGCAGTTAATGGTCTGAGATGATATAGAGAACCAAAAACAATAAATACATTGTATAAAACATAATTTCATATCAATATATTAAAATACTATTTAAAATAATATCTTAGACAATATTGCAATATGAAATTGACTGATAAATAGTTGGTAGGCCTACAGAGAAATATATACTGTATATATATATTTAAGTATCTGTGTCCTTCATAGTTTGCTGTTTTGATTTAGATGAGATTCCAGATTTCCCTCAGCGGGTATCAGTACAATCCAGAGAGCTAATACATTTGTCTTTTTTTCCAACAATAATAACAATGAACTTACAGTACACAGTCCCATAATAAAGATATACATACCGAATACAATATAAATGTCAAGACAGAAAAATAGAAAAATATCAATAGAAATCAAAAGTCAAATACATATTGGAGAAAGTATACAGAGTAAAGTGTACTTATGAGTCTTTGTGGTTCTTGTTGTTGTAGCTGGAG